AGCGTTTCCCACGTACCTCACTTAGTCCTTACAATGATTCTATGTGATAGATACTACTGTTATCACCCCCTTTTTATGGATGAGGAAACTGAGGCCCAGAAGTCACACGACTGGGAGGTGGGAGAAGCGGGAATCAGAGGCAGTCCAAAGGCCAGAGCCCCGCTTCATCACCACCAACTAGGCTTTGCCGTGCTTCTCTAACAGAGTAAAGTGATACACACAGGGGATCAGCTAGTGTTCTGACCTCACCCTCTTCTAAGAAGCAACTTCTTGCCATCAGCTGACTGTGTTCTTGTCTCCTCTAAGTCGGGGTGAGGGGCACAGGGGAGATGCTTCATTTGGGCATGGAGAGGGATAACAGGTGCGCAAAGCAAGAAGTGATTGTCCGAAGGTTGCATGACAATGTAATGAGTGGATGGGTTCCAAAAAACCACATCAGCATCACAACTGCTGGACTCCACTTTGCTCTGGCCATACCAGCAATATTTACCTTGTGCTAAGTTTCCGATTTTCAAAACAGCCACTTCAGTCTAAATGGTTTATTAAAATTCCCTTGGGACGCCTGGGTGGTTCGTCTGGTGGTTGCGCATCTGCCTTCGGTTCAGGGCGTGATCCCAGGGTCCTGCCTGTCTCTGTGTCTCTCATGAATGAATAAATAAAATATTTAAAAAAAAGAAAATTCCCTTATATTGATGTTGCTCTGTGATGCAATTCCTAGGTGAACCACAAGGTGATGCTGCAGACAGATCTAGGGATTTGTTTGAAAGGAGAGGTTTAAGCATGTTTGTATTTTATGAATTACGATATAGCTACACAAATATTAAGCAGCACTTGAAAGTATGAAGTAAAGCTGTATGGCTTTTAATAAATATCTTTTTTAAAAAAGATTTTATGTTTTTATTCATGATGGACACAGACATAGACCAAGGGAGAAGCAGGTTTCCTGCAGAGAGCCCGATGTGGGACCCGATCCTGGGACTCCAGGATCACACCCTGAGCCGGAAGCAGACGCTCAACCTCTGAGCCACCCAGGTGCCCCTCCCCTATATTTCATAAATGCTTATCACTTTCCCATTCTAAATCTCTATATCTTTATATCCATTTCCTTCCTCTGACCTGCATATTTCATTATCTATCATCTATCAAATCTGACAGGACCATTATTTCTCACACCATTCAGTGTTCACACGTAGGGATGTGTTTGCCAGCGATTCCCTGCTCCTTGGCCAAAAAGTCATGAGCTCTCAAAGCTGTTCAAATAAGTCATAGGGACACCTGGCTGGCTCAGTCCGAGGAGTGTGCGACTCCTGATCTCAGAGTTGTGCGTTTGAGCTCCACATTGGACGTAGAGATTACTTAAAAATAAAATCTTTTATTTATATTTTTAAGGATTTTATTTATTCATTAATGAGAGACACACAGAGAGAGACACAGAGACACAGGCAGAGGGAGAAGCAGGCTCCACGCAGGGAACACAACATGGGACTCGAACCCGGGACTCCAGGATCACGCCCTGGGCCGAAGGCAGGCGCCAAACCGCTGAGCCACCCAGGGATCCCCAAAGTAGAATCTTTTAAAAAAAGTCATGGGGTGCCTGGGTGGTTCAATCTGCTAAGTGTCTGCATTCGGCTCAGGACATGATTTCAGGGTCCTGGGATCGAGCCCCACGTCAGGTTCCCTGCTCAGCAGAGGAGTCTGCTTTCTTCTTCTCCCTCTGGACCTCCCCTGCTTGCTTGCACGCGTGCGCGCTCTCTCTCAAATAAATAAATAAATAAATAAATAAATAAATAAATAAATAAAATAAAATCATCTTAAAAAAAGGAGTCATAAACAGGCTGGCTCAGTCGAGAGTCAGGGTCGTGAGTTCAAGCCCATGTTGGATGTAAACATTACTTAATGGAATAAATAAATACAACCTTTTTATTTTTTTTAATTTATTCATCATGAGAGACAGAGAGAGACAGAGACATAGGCAGAGGGAGAAGCAGGCTCCATGCTGGGAGCCCGACGTGGGACTCGATCCCGGGACTCCAGGGTCACGCCCTGGGCCAAAGGCAGGCGCTAAACTGCTGAGCCACCCAGGCATCCCCAATAAAAACTTTTTAAGAAGAGTCATAAACTACCTATGGGGGTAGAGGGTGGGGAGTGGGTGAGCTGAGGATTTTTGCACATGGGGGAGGTATGCAGGATGGCAGGAGAGGAAGTGCACATAAAAGTACTCTGGATGCAGGGATCCCTGGGTGGCGCAGCGGTTTGGCGCCTGCCTTTGGCCCAGGGCGTGATCCTGGAGACCCAGGATTGAATCCCAAGTCGGGCTCCCGGTGAATGGAGCCTGCTTCTCCCTCTGCCTGTGTGTCTGCTTCTCTCTCTCTCTCTCTCTCTGTGACTATCATAAATAAATAAAAATTAAAAAAAAAGTACTCTGGATGCAGCAGTAGCCAGTCAAGTCACCGGATGTGAAGCTCAGAGGGGAGGAGACCTCACAGAGTTTCTCAAACATGGATGCTAATCCCCCATACAGATCTGTCTTCAATACAGAAGAGTTTGGGGTAAGCTCCTTCAGCTGGGCTGGGGTCCTGGGATGCTGCCTACAGAAGGGAGTCATTCTCAGTATTTCACACAAAACAATTGTGAGTGTGGAAGCTCAGACCAAAGACTTGAGAACGTTTAATCTATTCATTCTAACAAGATACTCACCAATTGATTTACCACTTCAAAAACATCACTCTGTCTCAGGAGTCCCAGTCAGGGAATCCGTGTTTGTTTTTGGTCAGGGGAAAAGGTTGTGATGAGGAGGTTTAGCTTATCAGGCTGTTTATGTCTCACTGTGTTCCATTTTTTTAATTTGATGACATCTGCAGAATGTTAAGGGCAACAACTGAGTAAACTGGATGTTTGACTAATTGCGACAGTTTCCTTATCTTTGAAATAAATGAGCATTTATTCTTAGAGAATCTTAGCTGGAACCACCTTAGAGATTGTCTGTGGCCCATGAACATTGCCTTGGAGAGTTTTGAGAAAAATCCAATGCCCAGGTCCCGCATCATACCAACTGAATCAGAGTCTCCAGAGATAGGATCAAGGGGCAACACTAGTTTTAAAATCCCACAAGTTATTCTAATGCAGCCAGGACTGAGAAACAGCTGTAGTCTCACAATACAGAAGTTGAAGAGATGAAGTGGCTTGTGCTCACTTTGGCAGCATATATGTGAAGAGACAAAGTGATTTGCCCAAGGTCACAGTGCTAATAAGTGGTATCTTACCCCTAACTTCCCTGACAGCCCAGCCAGTGTTCTTTCCACTATGCTCTTTTGTGTCTTCTAGAATTTAGGATTTTGCTGAACATCATAGTTAGGTGGTTTACAGTTGAGGGAGAAGGGACAGGGTCCATCAGAAAGGGTGGGTGGGGAAACTTTTAAGGACTCAATGCAATCAAGGATTCTCCAGAACATGGTTTCCGTCAAGTCAGCCTGGTGGGAGGACAGTCAAATGACCTTTTGGTGAAAGCAGTGCCTAATACTGTAGTGTATATTTAGTTCCTCATAGAGCAAGTCAGCTGCTCATGACTCAGTTGCACCCATGAAGACATTCATGAATAAGTGTTCTCACTTTCAGGAATTAATCACATTAAAGTAAATAACATGGTATATCAGTGATTCTTAATATTTGGGGTGGGTGTTGGGGAGAACTAACATGTCCCATTTGAGAACTAATAAAAGCTATAACTCCTCTCCCCCCGCTGAAAAATACACATACATAAATGTTGCGTGTAATTTCTGGAGATTCACAGACTGCCCCCTACTCCCCAACTGCACCCCCCTCAAATTCATCCATTGACATCATATTAAGATCTCCTGGATTAGATGCTTTTGGAGCTCTGTTTTTAGTGTTTCTCAAAGTGTAGTCCAGGAACTAGAGAAATCAGAATTACCAGGGGGGTTTGTTCAAAAAACAATTTCCAAGGACAGCCATAGACCTACCGTTTCCGAATCTCTGTGGAATGAAGTATAAGAGTCTGTATGATATTAAAACTCTGGGGATGCCTGAGTGGCTCAGCGGTTGAGCACCTGCCCCTGGCACAGGGCGTGATCCTGGAGTCTCAGGATGGAGTCCCACATCGGGCTCCTTGCCTGGATCCTGCTTCTCTCTCTGCCTTTGTCTCTGCCTTTCTCTCTCTCTCTCTGTGTGTGTGTGTCTTTCATGAATAAATAAATAAAATCTTTAAAAAAGATATTAAAACTCCCTAGATGATTCTTTTGGACACTAACATTTGAGAATTAGTGCTTTACCCCAACTTGAGATTTTTATAGTTTTTGAATGCTTTCATTTGTTGACTATTTGAGGTTTCATCTATTCACCTGTCAAGTATACCAAATAGTATGTTTAGTATGAATTCATTAAAGCATATTCACATGTGGATATGCACAGGAAAAACAAGTGGAAGGATAGATTTTCTTTCTGTGTTTAAAGAAGATTCTTCCTCTTTCTGAGTTCAATTCCTCCATCTGAAAAATAGGGTATTGCAATTAGGCGAACCTCAAGGCCGTACTGCTCTGGCTGTCCGCGACACCATGCTACGCACCAGCTCCCTTGTCCATTTCATCACATGAACTGCAGGGGCATATGAAACACGTCTTATGGAACAGGCGATACAACTACAGCGCTCGTAGAATAATTCCGTGTTATTTGTATTCATATTACGTTATGATGCTTAGCAATCTTTTTAATCCAGCAAAATTATTCTCTTCTTCCTCAATGAGTTGGAACTGAAATAAACTCTACTACCTACACCCCCGAAGAGTTAATCCTCTCTCTAATTAAGCCTTAGAAAGAGCCGTCCGCACGTATCTCTTGGGCGCAGAAGAAGGACTGTGAACCAAAAAGCCAGGGCGTGGTCGCCCCGCCCACCGACTCCTACATCACCTCCCCTCTCGCCGCTTTCCAGCGAGGCGATTGGCTAAGCGCAAGAAAGGGCCCCGCCCCTAGTCTTATGACCCGCACCGAAGCGGCGCGTCCTGGCGTTTGCAGTGCCGCGCTAGGTGGTCCGCGGTCCTCCCGCCCGGTTTCGGCGAGCCCCTTCCCGGGTGTTGCTGTGCTGTTGCCACCGCCCCCTCCCGCTCCGCCGCCGCCCCCCCGCTTGGCGGAATCATGGTGTGCTTCCGCCTGTCCCCGGCTCCGGGCTCGGGGCTCGTTCTGCTCTGCCTTGTCCTGGGTGAGTTGTCGGGCCCTCCTGCTCCGTCCGTCAGCCTGGGCCCGGGGAGCCCAGTGCGAAGGCCACAGGCCGCAAGCCTGGTCCGGGGGAAGGGAACGTGGGGGAGGCCGCGCGGCTCACCCTGGGCGGCGGCGCTTGGCCCGGGGAGGCGAGCCGTGACCTACGGAAGGCCTGACCGAGAGATGGCTGGGAAGAAGGGCCCGTGAGAGGGGGACGGGGCAAGCCAGACGGGTGGGCGCCCAGGGAGTAGGTGGGGGAAGAGTGGGGAGTGGAGCAGCCCTGGGGAGGAAGAGTAACTTGGGGAAGAGACTAAGGAGTGAGTCTAGGAGGGAGGTACGGGCGATTCTGGGGTGGCAGAGACCATTGGGAGACTCCTGGTTTCTTAGGATCAGGGTAGAGTTTTGAAGATGGTGGAAAACTATGGGGTGGGAGCGAAAATTGGGGAGGGAAGGGAACCGCCTTCGCCTGCGCGCAGAGCCTTGGGGGAATGGTGGGGAGTTAGGGGCGCTTATGACCGTAGAGTCTGGGGGACAGTGAGAGGGCCGGGGGGCGTTGTGTGGGTGGAAATTTGAGGCCGTGGAGGAAGGGTGATGAGAGAGATGAGGAACGCTGCTGGATTTGAGTGGTGGTTGGGAGTTTTGAGGGGTAGGGACCTAAGGTGACCCTGGGGCAATTTCCAGGCGAGAAAACTTGGACCTAACCTCTGGAGACTAAAGGGATGAGGGGGAATTTTGGCGGGGAGTGATCTGACTTGGAGGTGTTGAAGATGTCGCTTTTCTACCAGTTTTGCTACTTCCTCCCAGCCAGATACTGATTAAGAACAGACAGGCAAACCAACTTAAAGCCTTAAAAAAAAAAAAAAAAACCGGGTATTTCAGCTGGGAGGGCCTCCCAGATGTGCGGTTTTGGGGGTGGAGTATTGAGTCGTGTATACTGCCTCTTTGCCTTCAGAAGCTCGTTTTCTTCTCAGTGACACAACTGGCCTTTTACTTCTTTTTTGGAGGAGGAGGATAGGTGACTTGCCAAAGACTGGGTTGTTACCAAGTCATAAGAATGACTGGATGAATGTTGGCTGATTGTATTATCCCCCCTCCCCCAAAGATCACTGGGTCCCTGAGGGCTGTAATGCCTGAAAGGTGAACTTTGACCAGAGTGTCTCTTCCTGACCTGATTCATCCCTGTGCTTGTTGCTATCCACCAGCTTGCTGTTTGTGACCAAATAAAAGAAAGGGGGAACAAACCCAGGGGGTGGGGGTGGGGGTGGAGGGAGGGAGTAGCCTTATTAAGGGTCCGAAAGGGCAGTGAGAGGTACACAGTCTGTAATTCTCATTTCAGTAGAATAAAATCAGCACCCTAAAATAGTGGATTCTCAAACAGGGAACATTTGGCACTATCTGCAGACATTTTTGGTTGTCGCAACAGGGGATTGCTTTTGGCATCTAGCGGGTAGAGGCTGGGGATGCTGCTAAACATCCTACAGGGCATAGCATAGTGCCCCCATCCCCCAACAAAGAATTTTACACCTCAAAATGTCAGGAGTGCTAGAGTTGAGCAATCTTGTCCCAGAGTGATAGTGCTGGAAGGGTGGGTTCTTGATTATCTAATCTAATCTAGTGCTTCTCAAGGATCTTTTTGAGGAGGTACCTGTCAGATAAAAACTTATTTCTAAAATAATACTAAGAAGTTATTTGTTTCTTTCACTCACACTCTCACCAGTGTACAGTGGAGTTTTCCAGAGGCTGCACAATGTGTGATGACATCACCACCACTCCGATGGCTCTGATGTTGTATTTTAGTCACTTCTCATTTTTTATTTCGAATATGGCAAATACCGACAGATATAACGCACGTAAACCAATGTGAATAAGAGAGTAAAGGGTCCTGACACCAGATGTTTCAGACTCCTCAATCTAGTGCAGCTGTGCACATAGGGCAGGAGACACCCCTGTAGCCCTTCTGAAAGGAAGCCATGGAGACTTTGCTCAAACACAGTTCGAAGCTGTTGTTAACACTGCTGCCAGGCACTTACTGAGGGGCCAGCGACCCTAAGAGAGGATTGTTTACAGCGAAAAGCACCTTATCAGTGGCTAGAACTCATCTGACCAACACATCTGTTAATCAGTAGTTCACTGCCAATTGAATCTGCACAAACACAACCCGGTTATTGTTTAGAGAAAGTGAAAAAAAAATAATAGTTGTCCTACTTGTTGGCTTTCGTGTCATTAGATTTTTTTGTTGTTTCTTTTTTTTATGAAAGCTTTTTTGTTTTGTTTTTACAAAGCTATGCTTGCTCATTGCAGAAAATAAACAGGCAAAAAGAAGCACATGAAAGAACCCGTCAGCTCATCTGCTAGTTTGCCATTTATTGATCTGGACTAACTAGATTCATCTTCTTGGAAGAGTTCCAAGATCGATTTCCTCCACTTCCAGGTTTAGAACAGGGTTTGGGGGGAGTAAAAGTTCATAATGTACCTAGATTAGATTTTTAGAAGGTATCAGTGAAATAGAAATCTTCTCTTCTCCAGGGCTGCTTTTCCTGACAGTTGTTGGTTCAGTGCGGAACTCAGGCTCCTTCCATGTGGTTTTCTCTCTTAAGAATCGAGCTGGTCTTCAGTTGCCTGGTGGGGTTGGCACGTTACTTTTCATATATCAAAATACCAAGAATAGGTTTTTAAAAACTCCATAAATATTTGTAAAGTACCTGTTGTGAATCTTGTGCTGCTGCTGCTCTGGGTACCAGTGAAGAGGGATCTGTCCTGGATTTATAGTCTCATTAGCTTGAGTGCTCAAGCTGTGCCAGTTTCACTTTGTAACTTTATAACTATCCTAGCTCCACGGAAACTTTTTAAAAATAGCTACTTTAGGGCAAGTATAGGAAAGAGTTCTTAGGAGTTATGTATTGGTCCTTTTCACAGAGATGAAGTCATGCTCCTCATTTGAATGAATTATAACTGACTAGAGAACTTTCTGAAGAAAAGCGATACGAATTTTCCAAAGCTCTACAGATACATTATAAAGAAAGTAGTGGATAAAACCATTTCCTAGCATCATCATCTAAGTGTTTTTTCTTTGTGACATCATAGATTTCAGAATTCTGTGGCTATTGATTTTTACAACTAGTTTGACTTCTGGTTTTTATAGGGTTGATGCTTTTCTTTTTTTTTAAGATTTATTTATTTATTCATGAGGGACACACAGAGAGAGGCAGAGACACAGGCAGAGGGAGAGGCAGGCTCCCCGCGGGGAACCTGATATGGGAGACTCTATCTGGATTCCGGGATCACGCCCTGAGCTGAAGGCAGATGCTCAACCGCTGAGCCACCGAGTCGTCCCTGGGTTGATGCCTTTCTGGGTGGCAGAAACCTCCTATAAATATCCTGAGTATGTACTTTACTGGTAGGAAGCTCTCCCTCCCGCCGATGTTTATCGATTGCCTGGTGAGCAGAGACCCGAGCATTGCAAGGAGGGCCAGCCAGGTGACCATCTGGAAAATAGGAGTAAATCTTGTTGTTCCCAAACTCTTGGGTTATTAGGCTAGCCTGTTTTCAACTCTTAAAAAATTCTATTGCCAGTTAAGACTCCCCTATGGCACTAGTGTCTGAGAGCAAAGACTATCTTTTTTTTTTTAAAGATTTTATTTATTTATGATAGAGAAAGAGAGAGAGAGGCAGAGACACAGGCAGAGGGAGAAGCAGGCTCCATGCTGGGAGCCCGGCACGGGACTCGATCCTGGGACTTCAGGATTGCACCCTGGGCCAAAGGCAGGCACCAAACCGCCGAGCCACCCAGGGATCCCCGAGCAAAGACTATCTTATGCACTGTTATTTCCCATTGCCCACTTAGCACAGCACCTGGTACAACGATCAACCCTCAGTACATTTTTGTTGAGGGTATTCATTGGTGGGCACTGGGGATATGACTATAAATTAGACCCGCTTGGTCTCCTTTGTCTTCTGTGAACCTTAAATTACGTTTTGCAAGAAATTTTTTGTGTCTTTGGATTAAGAACTTCAAGATCCGTGCTAAGCTGTACAGATAATTATAAGCCAATGAACTGATATATGTATAATCCCATATAATAATGCTAGTATCTTACTCGTACCCCTTCAGATACACCTCCACAGTAGGGTAGGTTAGCATGGAGAACTAGGAAGTCCTTGGTGAGAAAGAGAATAAGAGTTTCATAAAAACCAATCTCTCTCCTTTTGGAGGTGATCTAAAAGAGAAAGTAAGCATGAGATCTTTCTGTAACCTTTCCTTAAACGGGTAACTTTTATTTCAAGGTTCTGCTAAAATTATTTTTAGCTGTAATAGAGATACTTGAAAGGATAGGCTTATTATTTGTCCATTAGTCTTTGGTTATCACATCTGATAGGATTTTAGATCTTCAGATATTTCCCAGGAGTGCAGCTTTCTTCCCCTATCTCCTTGAGTGGAATTTGTGATCAACAATTATTTCACAGCACTGTAGCTGACTTAAGTGATCCTTGGTGCAGGAAGACTTCTCTTCCTCCTGTAGTGACAAAAGCATTCCCATCATAATTTCATATTAAAGTGATCAGAGATCGCCTCAGATCCAAAAGTGTACTTTATAAGTACTTGTTGGTATCTTGCTGTGCATTGCAAAAGAATCTGGAGGTCTGCCAAACACCACTCACTCAGCAATAAGCATTTTCCATTAGTTGAATAGTGTTGAATCTTACTTCCTTACCCACTCTCTGGTCTTAAAAATAAATTATTTTGTAGCTTAGAATCATTTCATTACTTTTCTTTTTAAAAGAGATTTACCAGAAATTGAGAGTATCAGCAACTGAATGGGGTGGTTGTACCTATATTAGGAAGCATAAATGAGGACTTGTAAATGAGGAACAGTTTATCTGATTTATTAAACCTACGGACAGAAAAGAAAGAATAAATAGGTACTTGTATGCCTATGTCATGTGCCTTAAAAAAATCTTTATTTATTTAAAGATTTTATTTATTTATTCACGAGAGAGACA